TTAAAGATAGTAACTTTATGTTGAGGTGCAGATATTTGAAAGATATTTAGTGTTCGTACATTTATACCTATGCATTTAGGATTTCTTAATATTACAATATATTTTTGTAACTTTTAATAGTCGATGGATTCAATAAAGCAACATCATATAATCGAATGATTATTTGTATTTTACCCATTTTTTCATCTAAAAAACTTTCATGAAAATTTTTTGTAGCATTATTTTGTTATACTACAAAATAATATTATGTATTTAATACATAAACTATCATTTTTGACTCGTTTTCGTACTTAACTTTCAATTTTTAAAAATCATATCTATGTTTAGTTATTGTTTTGTTTTATTACCTCACGTTAAAAATTTAATGGGTGAGTTGCACGTGACACATTTTTTATAGGTAAATTGCATCATTCATCACTCAATTATCTTCTCACTCTTATTTTGGTCACTAAAGTTTAATTTTTAATTTAATTACATAACTTTTAGATTACTCCTAATTTAATCACTCTAATTTATTTTATTAATAATTTGTGTGACATGGAATTTTATTACTATTATTATTTTATTATATATAATTAAAAATAAAAAATAAATTTGAATGTTGAGTAGTTAAATCGAATATTTGTAAAATTTAGTACCAAAATAGGATTGAGAAGATAGTTGAGTGATTAATGATGTAATTTACCCATAAGCGATGTACTAAAAAGAAACAAAAACTAAACGTTAGATATGATTTTTAAAAAATAGAAAGTTTAGATACTAAAACATATAAAAATTAATAATTTAAATACTAAATCGTAATTTATCCTATATATATCACCTTAATGAAGCATGGCCCAAATCCCCTTGCATTGAATGGTCTCCTCTAACTATTTTGTATTTTATTATAAATGTAATAATTTGTCATGAGCAAATCTTTCTCAAAGTCGGCCAATGTCATTATTTTGCTTTATTATATATATATATATATAATATGAACATGTTAAGTGTACTCAACACACATAAATTGAAATGACAGTTGCATGTCTATTGCTATCATTGTGCCGTGTCCAATATTTACTTGGATAAATTACGTGTTTAGTATCTAAATTATTAGTTTTGATCTGTTTTGATACTTAAATTTTTAATATTTTTAAAATCGTACTTAGAGTTTAGTTTTTGTTTTATTCTAGTAGCTGTCGTTTAAAATTTTAGTTTTTGTTTCATTTCAGTATCCCATTCAAAATTAAAACGACAAGTTTTGATTTTTTTGAATATTTAGATACTAAAACGAACCAAAATTGTATGTTTAGGTACTAAACGTGTTAAGTTTTTAACAGCGAGATACTGAAATGAAACAAAAACTAAACTTTAGGTACGCTTTTTAAAAAAAATAAAATTTATGTACTAAAATAATCAAAACTGATAGTTTAAATACTAAACGCGTAATTTACGCTATTTAAAAAATTCTATTTAAAAATCATTATAAATTTTGAGAAAATTACCCTTCAGATACACCCCTCATTGGCTTCTGGGTCACTTCTTCTGATTTTCAGCTATCTTTTTAGACAAGTCTTTGTCGGCTAATGATTTTGAGAACAATTATGATTTTAGTCTCTCTAGTATGTTAAAATTTGAGATTTAGTCCTTACTTTCTAATTAGGTATAATTATGATCCATCTATTTTATAATGTTCTTCATAATGACACGGGAAGTGGTGTCATTCAAGGCCACGTATAAACTCTATCCATTATGCTCAACTGGTAATAAATTTATGTCATATGAATATTTCAATTATTTTTAAAAAATATGTTTTAAAAATGATAATAATAACATTATAAAAGTATATGGACCAAATTACATAAACTTAAAGTAAAGGAACCAAATCTCGAATTTCAGTATAGTAAAGACACTAAAATCGTAATTAGGCCTTAGACTAAGTTTATACCTTACATTTAAAGTTTAGGGTTTAATTTAGTAGAAACGATGAAAATTTTACCATGTAATATATGATTACATGCCTTCATGATTAGATTAACTATTTTTTAATCATTTAATTTCTTGATGTTAAGATAAACAAGACAAATAAATTGGGTATATTTTGGGTAAATTATATATTTAGTATATAAACTATCAGTTTTGATCAATTTTAGTACCTAAATTTTTAATATTTTTTCAAAATCATACCTAAAGTTTAGTTTTTGTTTCATTTTAGTACTTTTGTTCAAAATTTAACGTTAACTTTTGAAAAACATTAAAAGTGTAGGTACTAATCACATTAAATTAAAGATCAAAATTGATAGTTTATGTAATAAATTCATAATGACTTTGGTTTTTATAGACAAATTCCAAGGATAATTAAATGATTCAAAACATAATTTGGTACCAATGATTGTTTCTTAACACTTGGGGCAATTAGATCAATATTTTCTCATAAAATTCATATAAATAAAAATTATTACACCCCTTTTATTGATCCAAAAAGAAAATTATTATTTTCCTTCTCACTTTATTGTAACTATTAAAAGTTCTTCAACTATTAAAAATTAAAAAATGATCATTTGATTATAAGATATTATTTTGCAGAGTATTTTGAGTATTAAAAGTTACAAAATAATCACCTGACTATTCATATGTTCCGAACTCGTCATTTTCTGTTAAAAAATTGGCGACATTCTGAGCTGGGGGTTAACCTATTGATTGTGATATGGTAGAATTTGATCTCAAAATCTTAAACGCCTATTATATCTCAGTCAACAGGTTAACGCCCAACTCAGAATTTCGTCAAATTTTAATAGAAAAAGACGATTTTGAAACATATGAATAGTCAAGTGATCATTCTGTAACTTTTAATAAGAGTTGACTCAATAAAGCAATGTCCTATAATCAAGGGATGATTTTGTAATTTTTAATAGTCGATGGACTTAATAAAATAACATCTTATTATTAAGGGACCATTTATATACTTTATCCTTAAATTAAGCGTATTGTGCTGCTTTGAAATCTAAATCTCAATATAAATTTCTAAGCGTTTTTAAGGCCCATATTTCAATTTTCAAGAACTTACTAATGATGGACATCTTTAGTCGCGCTCTTCTTTCGGCTATGGCTTGTTCGACCATTTTCCTTTATACATTTATTTTTGGTAAATTATATGTTTAATATTTAAATTATTAAATTTGATTTATTTTAGTATTTAAATTTTTATTTTTTTAAATCATACTTAAAATATAGTTTTTGTTTTTATTTTAATATGCCGCTAAAAATTTATTATTTAAATACTGAAACGGATCAAAATTGATAATTTATGTACTAAATGAATTAATATTTTAACGACTGGATATTAAAATAAAATAAAATAAAAAATAAACATTAAGAATGATTTTATTTTTTCAATTTAAATACTAAAACAAATCAAAATTAATAATTTAAACATTAAAACAGATCGAAACAAATAATTTAGCACTCAAAGTGTGAAACAACACCTCTGTATCTGCCCAATGCCTCCATAACTCATAGCTATGACACTTCTGTATCTGCCCAATGCCTCCATAACTCATAGATATGGGTAGGGCCGTAAATGAGACGAGACAGATCGTGAGTTACTCGAGATCGACTTGATCAAGGCTCGATAAATACTCGGATCGAATGAACTCGACTCGAGCTCGAGTTCTTAACGAGTCGAAACGAGCTACTTAATATTCGACTCGAAAAGCTCGTGAACATATCGAAAACATAATATATCAAGATTTTATTTTTTAAAAATAAATTATTAATAATATTAACATTTATATATTTATTTTTTTAAAAAAACAATAAGATTTTCATGTATTTAAGATTTAGGTTCGAGTTTGAGGCTTCAATCGAGTTAAGTTTAATATTTTTTTTATTTTGAGCCTTTTCGAGCTGCTCACGAGCTTCAGTTCAGGATTTCAAGTTCGAGTTGAGCTTGAAAATTTTAAGCTCGCGAGTTTTCGAGTCGAGTCGAGCTTCATTTCAGGGTTTTCGAGTCGAGTCGAGCTCAGCACTGCTCGAGCTCGACTCGGCTCGTTTACACCCCTAGCTATGGGTAGGGGTGTAATCTAGTTACCTGGGTTTTCGAGTACCCGATTAATGATATCTATAACATTTGGGTCGGTGATTTCTCGGCCCATGTCTCAACCCGGATGTTGCGGGTATCCGATACCTTTTTTTTCATTTTTAAATTATTAATTTTGAAAAAATATATATATACAAATTTAAATGTTTGAAACTTTGAATTACATACTACAACATCCGAACATAAATTTAAAAGTTCGAAATACAAAATCTAATAATTCATAATATAAATAATCCATTATATATATAAACTAACCAGATACTCGGGTAACTGGGTACCTGGAAAAACTTCAATTTTGTGACTCAGGCCCGTATAAGTAATTTTTTTTAAAAATTACCCGATTTTTTTTAGGTTCGGGTCGGATAATTTTGCGCACCCCTAGCTATGGGCTCCTTCCACCATTTCTCCTTGCTTCAATATCTTACCCTACATATCATCATCTCCACTATATAGGTAAAAAATTAAATGGTGATTCGACTATTAAAAGTTACAATATAGTCATTTGATTATGGGATGTTGTTTTATTAAGTCCTACCAACTATTAAAAGTTACAAAATGATCACTAAATTATTTGATCAAATTATATTATATCACAGTTAATAAGTTAATATTCAGCTCAGAATATCGTCAATTTTTTAAGAAAAAAGTCGAATTTAGAACATAATATTTTATAACTTTTAATAATTGACGGACTCAACAAAACAACACTCTATAGTCGAATGATCATTTTATAGTTTTTAATAACCGATAGACTTAATAAAATAATATCCTATAATTGAAGAATTGTTTATGAAAATTAAAATTAATATTTTAAATATCAAAATCCTAAACTAAAAAAAAAGTTGTTATTTTCCCGCGCGTTAAATCCAATTTTTGTTCTCAATTTGGTTTCTCTTTGCTTTTTCAAATATTGTCAGATTCTCTCACTTTCTTTTCTTCCAAACACAATCACAAATCGTTTTTCTTTTGCTTTTTCCCAGACTCTCTTTTCTCATGATCCAAACAGCATTCCGCCCCTCCAATTCATTCTAATTCCTTGTCATCTTTCAAAAGAGAAATGGATCCAATATTCGAACCAAAAGCAGTTTTCAGCCGAAGCAAAAGCTGCAACAGCACCACCTCCAACATCAACCACATCAATCTTAACAGCAACAACAACAATGGCGGCGGCCATAGCCATAAAAGCAAGCTCACGAGAACCTTTCAGAAAGTCATCAACCTAAAGCCCTCAACGAAATTCTCTTCAAACAATGGTATTGGAATCTGCGTTTTCCCATCACAGAACAAATTCGAGTGTTACAATTCAAACCCGGATCAGAAGATCACTTCCCGTGGAAATTCCAAGCAGAAAGCCGTGTTAGAAGCTTCGGTTGCAAAGATTTTCGCTAGTGTTACGGCCATCAAAGCTGCTTATGCAGAGCTTCAAATGGCGCAGAACCCGTACAACAATGGCGCTATCCAGGCTGCTGATGAATCCATCGTTGAAGAACTGAGAACACTGTCGGAGCTAAAGAGAAAGTTCTTGAAGAAAGAGCTTGATCTTTCACCCCAAATCACTTTAATGCTAGCAGAGATTCAAGAACAGCAGAGCTTGATGAAGACTTACGAGATCACCATCAAGAAACTGGAATCCGACGTTGAATCAAAAGGTTTAGAGATTGATTCACTCCTTAATCAGTTCAATGATCGCCTTGCTTTCAACAAGTCTCCGGAGAGGAAATTAAACGCTAGCGGGCCGTTATCGATGTTCGATAACATCAACAAGATTTCAACGTTGAATCCGAGTCATTTCCTTCAAGTTTTGCATAAAGCTTTGAGATCGGTTCGTAGTTTCGTGAAATTGATGATCAAGGAAATGGAGTTAGCAAATTGGGATCTCGATGCAGCGGCTAAAGCCATTGAACCGGGTGCTGTTTTCGTTAAACAAAAGCAACGGTGCTTCGCGTTTGAATCTTTTGTGTGTAGAACAGTGCTTGAAGGCTTCAATCTCCATGATTTTGGCCTCGGCAAAGAGGTTAAACCCGGAAGAACAGACCCGGGAAAGCATTTCAATGAATTCAAGGCCTTGAAATCAGCAAATCCAAAGCTGTTTTTAGCTCGAAATCCAGATTCTTCTTTCGGGAAATTCATTAGGACCAAGTATCTCAACCTCGTTCATGCAAAAATGGAGTGTTCGTTCTTCGGGAATTTGAACCAAAGGAAGATTTTAAGCGCTAATGGGTTCCCGGATTCTGTTTTCTTTACGGCGTTTGCAGAGATGGCGAAGAGATTTTGGCTGTTGAATTGCCTGGGATTCTCAATGAACCAAGATATTTCGGTCTTTGAAGTGAAGAGAAATTGTCGATTCTCGGAGGTTTATATGGAAAACGTGAGCGATGAATCTCTTTTTTCCGGTGAATACAACGGCGGAGAAGTTGACATCAGAGTCAGTTTCACCGTGGTTCCCGGATTTAAGATCGATAAAACTGTAATTCAAAGTCAAGTTTATTTGTCGCCGGTGATTACTCCTCCGGTGAGTCGTTGATCCTTCTTTTTTAAATTTAGATGAAACGTTGTCAAGGTGATATTGGTTAGACGCGCTGCTAGGATTACGGTGGTGGAGTGAGGTGGGAACAGCTGATTGCTGTTTTCAAGTGGGGTTTTGATGTGTTTTTAAACGGCGAGTGTAGTGGCGCGTGGGTTGTATCACTACAGAGAAAGATGAGGCGCAGCTAGGTTATAATTAGAACTAGAGATTTTTCTTTTTTATTTAGAGAATTTATGTAATGTCAAAAATACCCTGTTAATTTATATATATATATATATATGTATAACACATAAAAAAGGATTAATCCGGCAATTTGTATATTTAATTTATATGATATTTCGTTAATTTCGAATCATAACAATATTTATATATATGTGGGTAAATTACACCCATCATAACTAGATTTTATTTTTTTCTATTATTGTATTTTAAATCAGTTTAATTTCCTCACTGAATTTGGTATAATTAGCATTTTTGGTTACTTAGTCGTTTTTTCACTAAACGATGTTATAAATGAGTTGTTATATAGATGGAAAATATCATCGTTTTGATGAAAATTTTATTTTTATAAAACGGTTTCGTTTCAACGCTGTTAAATATTTAACGGTTGCGTGAATAAAAATGCTAATTGTATTAAATTTAGTAAGAAAATTAAACGAATTTAAAGCGTAATGAATGAAATAAGGATATTTCAGAGGGAAATGTCGGATTCGGTGTCCGTTAAGGATCCGGGGTCTGAAGCTTCCGCGAGAGCTTGAAGCATGTTTACGACCTCGGCCGGATCGTCTAAATAATACTTGGCCTTGCTAGGTTTCTCACCAACTGTGCAGGCGAAAACGGACGTATTTGAGGAGAGGACGCCACCGGAAATTGCACTACTAATGATCTCGAACATCTCCTCATCGGATCGGTCATCTCCGATGCAGAGAACGAAATCCGCTTGCCTTCCACTCTCGGCCATGGTTGTGAATATCTTTTCGGCGACCACGCCTTGAGTGAGTCCTTAAAAGCAACATTAGAGAGCTGATTAAATTCAATGATATACTGACCACTTTTCACAGTCACTGGTTCATTTGCTAATACACTCTCGAGATGGTCTAACATCTCCTTCGCCTGGCTTGACCCAAAACACGGGTCTGCATCTTGATAGTGCCAGACCAAGGCACTCTCCTTGGTTTCAATAGAGGAGCCATCAGTGGCCCCTTGGTTTCAATAGAGGAGCCATCAGTGGCCTCTGTATACAATTTCATAACGGGTTCGGCTATTTCCTTCCACCCAAACTCGCTACTCTGTCCACAAACTTCCCACTTATCGACACTAGACCACCTGAAACACCGATAACTTCGAAGTAAGTGCACCTATTGAAGAATCACTACAACAACAAGAAAAAGGGAAAAGGGGTAAACATCAAACCTCATGAAATAACCATGTTCAGCTGCAATTCCGAGTTCCTTACGTGGAGAAAACCATTTGTCTAAACTTTCTCTTCCTCTTCCACTTACGACAAAAACTGTATTCTTGGTATCACCGGAGAGCGTGTTTATGATTGAGATCACCTCCGCACTTGGGGCCTTATTATGTGATGCTTGAGGCATTACCGTTCCATGATAGTCGAACAGTATAGCCCTATTTTTGGACCTTAAATACACGGATTCCATGTGATAAATAGACAACTTTTTGAAGTTAGGGTCAAGTGCTACAACTCAGAATCCAAAGCTTAAACCGATACCCCATCACCGTCTTCTTAATGGTCTTTGCATGTCCTTTCCATGTCCTGGAAGAAGCTACGAGACCAGAACGCTACATCATGTGAGCTAACATACCTATAATGTTTCTCGTCTCGCAACTGCTTCTCAGCATCAACCATTGAGATTGCCTCATTCATTGCCTCGGTTTTGATATTCCAAGGGTTTACTCGAATTGCACCACTGAGTGAAGGAGAGCAACCAATAATTTCCAATACCACCAGTATGCTCTTCTTAGGCCCGCTTGATTCAGAGACTCCCTGCCAGCATGCAACGTACTCGTAAGGAGTAAGGTTCATTCCATCTCTCACAGCCGTGACTACAACACACTGGGCTATAGTGTAGTATGCAACCCTTTCACTCAGGGATACTGGCTTATCAATGAAGACGATTGGTTCATAACCAGTTTGTCCGAAAGCCTCATTTATTCTCATGCAGCTTGCCTTTATTTCAGCATGCGTGCTCTCGAGATCTTTCCCTCTTCCCCTAGCAGGGTTCGTGATCTGTGCAAGCACTGCTTTTCCCTGCCACTTTGGGTGCCGTTTCAACAACTGCTCTGTTGCCGATAGCTTCAAGTTGACACCTTTAAAGACATCCATGTCATCGACTCCAAGCACTACAGTCTTTCCTTCAAACCGTCGTTTAAGCTTACCTATTCTCGACTCCTCATCTGCAAGTCTCAGTGCAGATTCGATCTGTTCCATGTGGACTCCTACAGGCATGATCTTTATCCCAATCGTCCTTCCATAGTATTCCAGTCCTATATATCCCCTTTTCGACTGATAATCTAAGCCAAACATTCTACTAAAACAAGACAGAAAATGGCGAGCGTAATCAAAAGTATGAAAACCAATTAGGTCAGAATTCAACAGCGCCTTTAGGATCTCTTCCCTCACCGGCAAAGTTCTATACATCTCGGACGACGGGAAGGGACTATGCAGAAAAAAGCCCATTCTCAATCTATTAAACCTTCTCCTCAAGAAGGTAGGCAGCACCATCAAATGATAGTCATGGATCCAAACATAATCATCCTCCGGATTAATAACTTCGATAACCCTTTGAGAAAAGATCTTATTCGCACCAACATATGCCTCCCACAAAGACCGATCGAATCTACCTCCATGATTCACCATGAGCGGAAGCATATAATGGAACAGTGGCCACAAATTCTGTTTACAGAAACCGTGATAGAACTTGGTGAAAATCTCTGGCGGTAAAAAATGCAGGGACACTTAAACTTATCCAACAAATGATGCGCGACCTCGTCTTGTTCTTTAACATCGACATCGACCTTCAAGGAACCAACATACAAAACCTCCATTTCTTCAAGCAAACCATCTTTTAACCGTAATAACAACGAGTAGTGGTCCCAACTAAAAGTCCACCCTTTGTTATCCGGTCTACGCTTAACTTTAACAGGTAATTGATTCGCTACGATAATAATTCGATCCTGATTAACCGAAGACGGTACATCGGAGTTCACACTATTAGCCTGATCATCATCAAGCTCGGAAATTACCCCGGGGACGGTCATCACTCGCGTCAGCCGTTTCCTCTCACGAGGCTGACTCATTACCGGAAAATTACCCTCGGCTAAATCTAAAAGATTAGTATACGATCTTGACAACATCTTTACCCCTCTTTTCTAATTATTACCCTCAACAACAATCAAACAGTTCAAAACTACGAACAAGATCCTTCAAGGTTTTGATTTTGCACGATATGCATTGGTATTTAAAACATATATCATCTTTACAATAATCAAAACAAACCCATGAATGATTTCCATCCAAAATTGCAAATATATATATATATATATATATATACCCAGATGAATAATTATATCAAAATTCAATCAAAACTAGAATAAAAAACAAACTATGAGCCGGATGAATGCAAATAATGAATCATTGAAACTAACATTACTCTTCAAAGCACTGAGCTTCTTGACGAGGACTGGGAATTTTCTCTCGTTCCGGGGAAGGAACGAATTCAGGGTTTGATTTGTGGTACTCTGTTGATTTCATTCAACGAGTCGCTTTTGCAAATCAAAAGAAAAAGAATGGCCTTTTTTGGGTTTGTTTTTTTACTTGTTCCTTTGTGCATGCAGCTTGCAAGTGTTGGTTATATGGCCATTGACGTTGGAGAAAAAGCATGCATGGTGGCGCCACTTAACTTTCGCCGTTCGATGGTACACGAGTTGATCTTTGCCGTTCTTTAAACACGAACCCGTTTCCCTTTTTTCCATTTGTCTTTTGTAGAGAGCGATTGGGAAGTGATTGTGTGATTGAATTTAAGCATGATTAGGTGTAATTATATAGAGCTATGTTTGATAATTAATTGTAATTTGTGAATCATACTAAATTTAATGTAATTAGAGGATCAAATTAATAGAATATATAAGTAAAGAGAATTAAGTGAACAATTATATAAATTTTAGGGTAAAGTATATAAATGGTCCCTTGACTATTTAATATTGTTTTATTAAGTCATTCGACTATTAAAAGTTATAAAATAGTCCTCCAACTATAGGGAGTTACTTTTTTTGAGTCCCTTGACTATTAAAAGTTACAAAATGATCACCCTACAATTCATTATGTTACAAACTCGTTCTTTTTCGTTAAAAAATTAAAATAATTGTCCTCAAACGACTATCATATCTCAGTTGGCATGCTAACATCCAACTCAGATGATCATTAATTTTTTAACGAAAAAGGACGAGCTTGAAACATAATAAATAGTCGAGTGATCATTTTGTAACTTTTAATAATCGGAAACTCAATAAAGCAGCTCTTTATAGTCGAAAGATCATTTTGTAACTTCTTTCCCCCTAGCTTTTTCCCTGGTTGAATTTGTAGATTTTACGGCCTGGATTTCGTACTTTGTTGGCCAGTGTCAACTTACCAAGAATTTTGTTATAGCATATGAAAATGAAAACATTTCAATGTGAAAATTCTCTTGGATCCTAGAACACATATGTGCTATAATTGTTGATGTTGCCGGTATCATTGTCTGGGTTGGTTTTGATTTCCCTGTTTTAGTAGGGTATAAGGCCACTAATGCATCGCCCTCCCTTCTCTGGACCGGCGGATAGTAAGGGAAAGAAGAGGTGTGGATAGGCTGAGAAGAACAACGGAAACATACATTTAGTAGTTTTTCCGAGGTTTAGAATCTCTACATAGTTTAGATTCAAATTCAGATAAGAGTGGTATGATTGAATTGCTTTGTCGTCGTGAATAAATAGCTGCACGACCGTCGTGTTTTAGTTCCTATGAATCAAATGCATCATTGAAGTTCAGAACAACGGCTCTCTATGTACTTGAAAGCATAGTTCTTTTGTACCGAAACGAGCTTTAGAAATCTTTATGGTCCATACTTCTTATGCTTGTTTTATGTTTTCTCAACTTCTCTCTTCAAACTTATAGGTATCGTGCCATAACAAGTGCCTATTACCGAGGAGCTGTCGGTGCGCTTCTTGTGTATGATGTTACCCGACACTCCACGTTCGAGAACGTCGAAAGGTGGTTAAGAGAGTTAAGGGATCACACGGATCCCAACATTGTAGTCATGCTCATCGGTAACAAATCAGACCTCCGTCACCTTGTGGCCGTCTCGACCGAGGACAGGAAGTTTTTTGCCGAGAAAGAGTCCATCTACTTCATGGAAACCTCCGCTCTCGAAGCTACAAATGTGGAAAATGCATACGCCGAAGTTCTTACACAAACATACCATATCGTGAGCAAAAAAGCCATGGAAGCGGGCGAAGAAGGGGCTAACTCGGCTGTTCCCTCCAAAGGTGAGAAAATCGATGTCTCCGCGATGAAGAAAGGGGGTTTCTGTTCAAGCTAGATTGTAGTTAATCTGAAGAAGTCTGATTGTTTACCTTTGTGGCTTGAGATCGTTTTGCTGCATCGGTTTCGTTGTAAACCTTGGTTCCGAAGAATCATGTTGAAAGAGCGCCAAAGTGTGGGAGTTCGAGCAAAGATCGATTCGGGTTTCGGAAATTTCCAGGGTATTATAGTATTGCATTTGAAATAGGTGAATTGGGGGGTTCTCCAATTCATTTTTACAGAAGAATCAATGATGTTCTGTATTATCAGTGTAGGAATTGCTTACATTTTGCTGCATGTTACAAAGGATATTGGTGTTAAAAATGCTGCAAGCAATGAACTATACATTTGCAGTAGCCATGTTCTATGTTGAAAACCGGTTTAGTTCCTGAAAGACGGACCATTTTGAAATTTGAAGGTCTGGATTCATTTATGTATATGAATTTGTACATATATATGAATATTTATGTTTATAATTAGCAATAACACAACCATCCATTGTCGTCCAGTGGTTAGGATATCTGGCTTTCACCCAGGAGACCCGGGTTCAATTCCCGGCAATGGAACAGTTGCTCTTTTTTATTTCGCCTGATAAAGTTTTTGTACTGCAATGGCGTCCATGGGTAACAAATGTATGTATGTATGAATGAAGGGCCTCCATGGATGCGGTATCTGCATGAAAGTAGTTTTGAAATTGCAGTAATGGATGTCGTCTCTTTATGTATTACAATCGAAAATTAAAGAATCAAATAAAAAATTAAAAAATTGATTTTCTAAAATACAAATCGAAGCTCCATAGATATTCTAGAATGGTTTAAAAACATATGATTCACATTTAGTCAAAATAAATTTAAAAAGAATAAATTGAAGAAAAAAAAGGAAATCAAAGACAAAATTGTAAGTCAATGAAATTCAATTTTTCGTATTAGTAAATCCAAACTCACTCGAACTCGAATAACTCAAAATTAAAAAAAAATCGAATTGAGTACCTATGATTCATATAGCCAAATCATAAATCTCTTAAAGAAAAAGATAACCAACAAGGTAGCCACTACTCCTAAGCTCCAATATTCTGAGACTTGTTAAGAATGACACCTTCATATTTGACTTGGAACCACTTCATGGCGTCTTCCTTGGTAACTCTGTGCTGAATGCCGACACGCGACTTGCACCTACAGCGGCGGCCCATGCGGTACCCGGCTCGTTCGAGAACGACATAAAAGTCCATACCATAGATACCAGTTGAAGGATCATACCTAGAAAGACGGCAATAGTTGTAAGTTTATGCTCTCGTGGAGTCCACAACATGAATATTGAATTTAACTACGAGTAGAACGAATCCATCGATATAACTTCTTTGTGCCAATTCGGTTATACTATATCATCCACAAGGAAGTTTACTTAATCCTCATGCCATTATGAACCTACACAAAGCTAGACTAGGACGTTGGAGGTCCTGTGCAAATTCTTAAAAAGAGGCTCTTAAATCTCAAAATTTTTTTAAAGATGACTTTATTAACTAGAAAACCTTTACAAGATTCGACAGCAGATTCTGTGGTTTTGGGTCTAAAATTTTTACCACTGATCCATAATACTTTGTTTTTTTTATTGTAACAATAGTAATAAATCTAATTTTTTTGGACCCTTGCTATTTCGGGGCCCTGTTCCGTCGAGCATGTTGATCATGCCTAGTCCCGCCTCTGAACCTACATACCCAAAAGTCGAAATAGTTGAAAGGTCCGGCTCGAATACAACAGCATTGCAGCATACAAATAAGTGCATTGCCATTAAGATTTTTATTTTCATTAACAACAAAAGGGTAAACAAAGTAGCATCAGTCCCTGTACTTCCTCAAATTTTAAGATTTAGCCAATGTAGTTAAAAAGTTTAGAAAAATACTAAATCTTTTCGATTTAAAAACCAGTCCGATTTATAGCTGAGGACGTTAATATTTTTCATCAGATTTCTTATTCAAGAGCATACGCCCCGTTGAAGATTTCAACGTGGCATCTTTTATAATTTTGCCAACTATACATATGATCTACCAACAAACATGCCAAGTTGACAAAATCTGACAGATAATATGAAGAGCACAAAGGATTGAATTAAGATTTTTAAATCGAAAATGCATGAAGATTTAAACTTAAATTATTTTTAAAATTGTTTAAGAACATCGATTAAATCACTGAGTTTACTAAAGTTCAAGAATTTACAGTATACTTATTAGAAAAAAAAGGATAAACTATTCATTTAACATCTAAACTATCAGTTTTGGTCCATTTTAGTACCTAAACTTTTAATTTTTTCAAAACCGTGCCTAACATTTTTAGTACCTGCCGTTACATTTTTAACGCATTTAGTACTAAACTATCAGTTTTGGTACATTTTAGTAATTAAACTTTCAATTTTTTTTAAAAAAAACTAAAGGGTAGCATTAGGTTGAGAATTTTTACCCTTGGAGAAAACTGGGGTTTGACCACTGTGTTGCTCCAAGACCTAAACAAAAAGCGAAAAGCATGGTTAATAGATTTTTGGGATTTGAAAATGAATGTGCTTTGGATTACCTTGGCAGCACGGGTGAGACGATCACCGCTTTCACCGACGGAGATGTTGAGAGCTTTAGAACTTTAATTTCCCTCATTGGGTTCGATAATTTCTTCTCCGATGCCTTCCGTAATTACCCAAAAACAACAAAATGGTAATGAAATTATGGATGAACATAAAAGCATAAAAAATGATCGAATCGGTCGATTAGATTTAGAGAAAGAGAAAGAGAAAGAGTGATACCATGGCGACGTGAAGGAGAATCAGAGCAGCTGTGCTGTTGGTAAGCTGCTTGATAGATCTAACAAATTAATTTGGCTAAACTCACGATATAATGCACTCAAAATAAATAATTCACGAAATAACGTTCTTCCAAGATTATTTGCTGAAATAGGGCGAAATCAACAGTGTGGCCGTAGGTCGCCATGCCTTCCGGGTGACCTACGACGATGCACAACCCAACCATAGGTCGCCATGCACTCCCAGCGACCTCCTAGGTCGCCATGCACGCCCGGCGACCAATGAGGTCGCCATGCACTCGCGGCAACATCCCCTGCTGCATGCTCGCCTGCTCGCGACCTTGTCTTTGGCCCCTACTCCGCGCTTCATGGTCGCCTGCTCGCTGCATTATTGCTCGCATGCATGAACCGAGCCCCGAGTGCATGGCACGATCTCCCCAATCTCCCCATGCATGAATCCTTGGTCGCCGCGAGTGCATGGCGACCTCCTTGGTCGCCGGGCGTGCATGGCGACCTAGGAGGTCGCTGGGAGTGCATGGCGACCTATGGTTGGGTTGTGCATGTCCCATGCACACGACCCTCGTCGGAAGCCACGTCGTAGGTCGCCCGGAAGGCATGGCGACCTACGGCCAAACTGTTGATTTCGCCCTATTTCAGCAAATAATCTTAGGAGAACGTTATTTCGTGAATTATTTATTTTGAGTGCATTATATTGTGAGTTTAGCCAATTAATTTATTTTATGAAGATTAGGGTTTTAGGGTTCTTATATGAGTTCCTCGCCCGCCAAGTGACTTCCTTTTCAGGTTGGGTTCTGAGAAAAAAAGAACTGGGTAATTTCATAAGCTACGCTACGCATTTAGTAGGTTGTGCCACCAACACTTCTGTTTATATCAATGACGCATGAGTCCTCCTTCCTCATCGGCCTTTCTGCTAACAATTTACTTGAACCAGTCCCATTGTCATCCAATTGTAAAACACCATTACTTTGACTCACATATGCAGTCTCTTGGGTGTTAACCACAATGATAGTCTCAACCACACATCTATCAGCTGAATCATCCGAATTCCCGCTTCTTCGATTAACTTCATCGACTCATCTCGTCTTGTTTATTTCAGCACTGGCTTCGACGAATCCCTCGCTTGATACCACTCCATTGTTTACATTTCCTTCAACTAAACTACTCGATTTACCGGTCCTTTGATCGTTTTCACTCGAATCCGGACCAATTTCTCTCACACAACCCATCTCCTGATGCTTGCACAATCCAGAGCCATCAATTTGCAATCCCAGATCAACATTTTCTTCAGAATTTTTCACAGTAACAGTCTCAGATAATATCTCATTATTCGAATTCTTCGAATTTACATCAATTTGACTCGAATTCTGACTAGTTTCTACCCTATCAAGCCTTTCCTCTTGATCCATTAATCTCAGATAACTTAGAAAAATCTACAAAAACGCCTCTAAAATTATCAATATATTCAAAAAAGACCATAAACAAGATGATACACCCAAACCCTGAAATTCAATCCCTTTTCATGCTCATATAAATCCCCGAAAAATCAGCAAACCCATAATCACAAGGATTCAACACTAATCAACAGTGACTAAGAGCTGATTAATTATCTATCTAAAGCAAATAAAAATCGAACCTTTGTTCACTTGCAAAACAACCCAGAATCAGATCCTTACCTACTCCATTATATCACTTGAACTCCAAGTAAATAATCAAAATTACATCAAAAAACAAAACGTTGACAAAAGAAAAAGAAGACATATGCTATCTTTCATATGAGAAACTCATACATTGGAAGATAAACTTCAAAGAAAAAATGGGTTTTATTGACTTGATAGAATCCTCCATTGAAATACAAAATCAATTGCGAACTTGAATTTGAACTTGAAGAGGGTTTACTTTTTTAAGGCAAAAAGGCATAAAGGCCCTCCAACTTCTAAAAAATAAATTTTTTATTTTTTATTTTTTGTTTATTATTTTTTATAAAAATAAAAATAAAACTTCTATAAATGTTACACATGTTATTTAGGATTTGGGCTGTAATTAAATTGAAATTTTTTCAAAGTTTGGTGACCAGAATAAATGAGAGAAGATAGTTAAGTGATTTTATATAAATCCCTTTGATGCCTTTTTGCTTTTTTAAAATATTTTATTATTAAATTATTAAATTATTTACTCTAATAAATTTTAAAAAAAATTGATTATTATAAATTTATGG